AGTACAGGTCGGGATACCCCTAAACATCCTACAGCGCACATATGGCCCAACAACGAAGAATGACCCAGGCCCAAGAGTGCCCAAGAGTGCCGAGCTTGAGGAAACTGGTTTAGAGTTATCAGCTTAGATTCGGTTTAACCTTCAGCGAGTAAAAGAATTACTTTTTCATTTGTGTGGGAAAAGAGCTCGGTGGTTGTTACTGGATGAAACCATGGTTATCACCCACAAAAGTCCACCCAGCTGCCAAGGTGGCACTGTCTAGTGACTAAGATCCCAACAGTGTCGGTAAAGGCCAAATTTCCAGGAAGTTCTGGGAAACGCAGCCTTTCATACTGATTTCCTGGGCTGATTCCATGACTAATCACCCCACCTCACGCTCGGAGAGAAACCCAGTAGCACAGAAGGCCTTCTCCTAGCCTATCAATCTCTGTACAAGATGGTTTAACCCTCAGGTTCAGACGAACCAACCTGCTGGTATCTAAGCTTATTCTCTAAAGAAACGCCATCCATCCATCCATCTATCTTCCCATCCATTCATCCGTTCTTCCATCCATCCATCCATCTAACCATCTGTCCGTCCACCCACCCTTCCTTCCTTCCATTTATCCATCCTTCCATCCATTCTTGCATCCATCCTTCCTTCCTTTCTATCCGTCCATCCTTCCTTCACTCCATCCATCCACCCTTCTATCTATCCATCCTTCTATCTATCCATCCATTCTTCCATCTATCTATCCAATAATTATTAAATGCCCACCATGTGCCTATCAGTGTGGTAGATGTTGGGGTGCAATGAACAAGCCAGACCAGGGCCCTGCCCTCATGGAGTTTATGGGGGAAGCACCCGAACAAATGGGCCAACTATGACACTGACCTTCTCTTTATAAGATCCCTAGCCATGCTCTTCAAACCAAAGACAGGTTTTTTGTTTGTTTTTTTGTTTTTAAGGAGTATCTGTCTGTTGCCCCTCCTTTGGATTTGATGCTGCAGTTCAGAGAGGTTAAGTGACTTGATCAAGGTCACATAACGAGAGAGTCTCAGAGACAGGATGAGCATCCAGGTTTCCTGATTTGCAGGGCTTTGCCACTTTACCTCTAACCACCACCACACATGAGCAGCACTCGTGTGCTCTGTTCGGAGCACTCTGCACGGTGTATCTCATTTAATCCCCACCACTGCCCTCTAAGGTAAAGACTGCTGTTATCTCCATTTGATACGTGAGAAACCGAGGCACAGAACCATTCGGTAACTTGCCAAAGTGGAGCTTGAATTTTAACACCCAGGCAGGCTGACTCCCCAAATGCCCTCACTTCTTGGTCCCTGGTTCTTCATGAATACGGATAAAGAGTTGGCCACGACAATTACTGGCAAGCCAGGCCCGCCCCTGGGTCTCATTTTCCCATCTATGCCCTGAGAGGGTGGTCTAGATGGTTTGAGGATCCACCCACCCCTGACCTCTGTAAGCCTTTGGAGCCCTAGCACCTGACCCTGTGGGGTCCCCGATCTGGGGAGGCTATCAGATAATAATGGTTTCCATGCTGCTCAGAGAATACCCCTGGGAGGGCACAAAGTACCAGGTGGTGACATGAGACAGGCCGTTTTAAATCCACTCCAACTGTTCTGCCAGAACCAGGCCAAGGTCCCCCATAGCAGAGAGGGCTAGGTTGTGTCCTAGTTGCTCAGGGGGGCTCAGGAGGATTTGTGGTTTGTGGGTGGGGGGCAGGGGGTAAGATGAATATGGCTCTCCAGGTAAGGAAAGGGAGAAACTGAGGCAGAGGGAGGCGCACTGGGACCCCTGCCCCTCCTACCCGGTGATAAGGCAATGGGACAAAGCGCTGGCCTCAGAGGCCAGAGACCAGGTTCTGACTCCCAGTCTGCTTCTAGCGCTGTGTGTCTCAGGGAAAGCCCCCTCCCCTCTCTGGCCCTTCACCTCTCCACCTGGAAAAATGAGAGGCTCATCCGAGATGCCCTTGGGACCATGCGTCTCGGGTCTATAGCCTCAACCGCCCTGCAGGGTGCTGAGTAGGCTCCATGCCTGTGTGGCCCTCAGCCTCGGGCCAGGCCCACCGTGAGCGCTCAGTAACACAAGGCTTTGCTGTTACAGGATTATAAGGTGAGAGTGTCTGTGCTTTCGAGCTACTGGAGTCTCAGACCTCCATGCAAATGCAACCCTTGACTCTACGAGTGTCCAGGAGCATCAGACATGATTATTCCTCCCTTACTTCTGTTAAAAAAAAAAAAAAAAGTGCTACGATTGGGCAATGTTCTCAGACCATCTCTGCCACTTCCTGGGGCAAGCCTCAACAGCAAACGGGAGTAATTACTTAACGCCATGCCTGCCTGAGCGCAGGGGCTCAACAAATCATCCTTGAGGTCCCATTCAGCTCTGAGATAGGCAGTGAAAATATTTTGTTTGGGTAGAGCAGGGCCAAAAATACACATTGGGTTTTGAGCCTGAGAGCCGCACTCCTCAGACTATCAAGGAAGCACCTGGGGCCTGGTCAATGAGCAGATTCTGATTCAGGAGGTGTGGGTGGGGCCCGGAAGTCTGGCTTTCTAACAAAGCTCCCGGATGTTGATGCTCCTGGTCCATGGACCATACTGTGAAGAGCAAGGACTTAAGGTTCCTTCTTTTTAAAAAATAAAAGAGACCATGTGTTAGTCTCATAATCAGAAGCCCCAAGGTACAGTGACCTGGACACCCTACCACCCTCGTGGATACTGACCATGCTGAACACAGCTTTATGAGCAGGCACGCATGGGAAGACAGTCCCTATGACCTCTTGTGTAGGGCTGGAGGAGGTCCCGGTGCCCTTCTCTCTTAGGTTCCCTGAACCACCCACTTTGCATGAAAGGGTCACTCAAGACAAATACCAGGGTTCCCCAGCTGGTCCTAACACCCTGGCGACTGGCATCAGGCAACCAGACTTCCAGGGCTGAGACATCACTCCTGGCTCCTCTCTTGCATTCCCTCTATCTGGTCTGTCAGGGATCCTGCCGTCTCTTCCATCAGAACGACTCCTGGGTCAGCCCTTCACCCCCAGTATCTCTGCTCCCTCGTTGAGGCCGCGTTTCCTCACACTGGGCTGATGGGGATGCCTCCTAGAGTCTGCCCAGGTGAAATGCATCCTGCTCTCTTCCCCAGCTCAGTTGCCCGAGGCGGCCAACAGGCCCAAAGCCTAGCCCGCTGGGCTGCTGCCCCAGGGACCTTCCCCTGTGAGCTCTTTTCTGCCTATGTTCGTGCACCTGCTCTTCCTGTTCTTCCTCCTCCCGCCCCTCCGCTCCCCGACGAGCCGGGGTTCCGAGGGGCTGGTGCAACTTTCCCTACGTAATTTTTCATAAAGGTATAACCTTTTTCCCATGCGATGGTTTGGAGGCCGTTGGGATTTCACTTACAATTCTGTGCCTCTCCTCCCTGCCATCAGAATAAACATCAGGGGTCTTTGCGCCAAAACCTCTCGCCAGCACAGGGAATAGAAAAAGCCACACACACAATGATGGGGGGCCCGGGCGGAGAGGGGTGGGGAGAAACAGAGGCGGAGCGATGGGGGGCAGGGAGGTGCTCATGAGGGAGCCCTGTAGTGGTCTGATGTGGGGACACCCTGGGCTCTGCAGTGGGTTGCACTGGTGACCCCCCCCCAAAACAATACAACCCAATGGAAGCTGGGAAGGTGACCTTATTTGGAAAGAGGGTCTTTGCAGATATAAGTAAAGAGCTCTGGATGAGGCCGCCCTGTACAAGGTCCTTACAGGACGTACAGAGAGGAGAGGAAAGGAAGAAGCAGGCCACGGGACGACGAAGGCAGAAACTAGAGAGACGCGGCTGCAGGCGGAGGAAGGCCCAGAGAGAGGCAAGAGGGATTCTCCCCTACAGCCTTGGGAGGCAGCGAGATCCTGCTGGCACCTTGCTTTCCGAATCTGGGCCTCCCGAGCCGTGAGGGAATACATTTCTGCGGCTTCAAGCTTCCCCGAGTACGGTAATTTGTTACGGCGGCCCTAGGAGAGAAAGCAGGTGGACTCCCACGCTGCCACTTACTGTGCAGCCTTGGGTAAATCGCTTAACCTCTCTGAGCCGACTTCCTCAGCCACAAAACGGGGCAATAAGATCTATCTCATTAATTCGTTCATCAGATATCTACTAGAGTATGTACTATGTTCCAGGTGCTGGGTTAGGGACTAGAAACACATGGTGAAGGAAACCAGATGGGGCGCTGCCTGCCTGGAGCTACGGTGTGGAGGGGAAGCCCGCAAAGTATCCGGTAACTGTTCAACCACAGCCATGGCCACAGGGTGCTGGGATGAGCATCCCAGGCAGAAGCCAGAGGCTTTCCCAGGGAAGTGCTGCCTGAGTGGAGGGAGGAAGGGAAGAGGAGCAGGATGCTCTGTGGGCAGGGGAAGGGCACCTGCGAAGTCCATGGAAGCACAGGCACTCGGGGAGGGGGGCCGGCGTGGAGAGCGGGAAGGGGTGTGCTGAGAGATGAGGCGGGGCCGGGGCCAGCCCGCGCGGGCCACCCTCCTGAGGGCAGGGGGAGTCACGTGGGGACGGAGCCAGGAGGCAGCGTGGTCCCATGTGCCTCTGCAAGGATCACCGAGTTGCCGTGCAGAGAGCAGACTGCTGGCCAGAGTGGGGGCAGGAACAACAGCGAGGACACCCCTGCTGTCGTCCAGGGGTGGGTGACGGTGGCTCAGACCAGGGCGGTGGGTGGAGCCGGGGAAAGAACCAGATTCAAGAGCTACTTAGCAGGTAAAACCACGGGACCTCGTGAGGAGAGACGAAATAATGGCTACGGAGCCCCAACGGTGTTTGGCACGAATGAGGGGCTCACTGGCTCCCTGACTACACAGGGTTCCCTTTCCTTCCCTGCACCAAAAAGACCACGGGGGATGGACCCACAGGTGGCAACACCCATCACTGGCTTTATTGGTCAAGTGTCAAGATGAGCACCCCAAATTTGCAGAATTTTAAAAAAAAATTTCTAGAACTTAGAAAATCAACTTACCATCCTTGAGTGAGAAGCTCAGAAGGTCCTGGGGAAAAAAATAACAGGAATCAGCAATATGTTGATAGGAAATTAGCCTGCTCCTGGCTGAGCCACTTGTCAGCTGCGTGACCCCGGACAAGTCACCTAACCCCTCTGTGGCTCAGTCTCCTCATAACAAGGGGAGGATCATACTACCTACTTATGCTCATAAAGTTGCTTTGAGAATTAAATGAGTTAGTATTTGCAAGGTACATAATAAGCACCATGTAAGTATTACATTAAATCAATGGTAAATATTCAATAACAATAATTTACTATTAGCTATGATCATCATCCTGTGATATTATAATGAAATATTTTATTTATTTATTTATTTAAAAAAATTATTTGAGAGAGAGAGAGAGACAGACAGCGTGAGTGAGTGAGGGTGGAGGAGCAGAGGGGGAGGGAGAAGGACAAGCAGACTCTGCACCGAGTGTGGAGCCCAACGTGAGGCCCGATCCCAGGACCCTGAGATCAGGACCTGAGCCAAAACCATGAGCCGGACACTCAACTGACTGAGCCACCCAGGTGCCCCAAAATATTTGATCTTTCAACTACACCACCCCACTAGAAGTGATTTTCAGACTGACTTTGTTCTCCTTTCCCCAGCAGCCGCCCCCTGGGTGGTGGGTGTACCTGAATGATCACCAATGGGTTGTCCTTCAAGATGGGGTCCTTCAATAAAATCGGAGCAAACACGTCCGCGCCTTCGCCTCCCAGGCCGTTGGCAAAAGCAGTCATGGTTGGCAGGACGGCTTCGGGTAACTCCAGCCACTTCACAAGGCCCGCCACAAACTCTGTGCAGAAGGAGCTGAAAGACAGACGTGCCTTAGATCCCCAAGGCTTCCAGAACAGGTCTCACAAGGCTGCTGGGAAGTGTAGGTCAGACAAGGTCATGGGTGGGAACAGCCAGCATGTACGGAAACCATGGTGACTGTGGCCTACGGAAGAAGACAGACAGCCAAACACCTAAGAGGCTGAGGAACCAGAGGCACAAGACACCACGTCGGGTGAGAAGCTCACGGCAGGGTGGACACAGGCACGGGACGCACAGACCCTCGGGCCGCGCGACATGCCGGGGGAGGGGGGTGGAAGCGTGGGCGAGGTGGCTCTGCTCAGCCAAGGCAGCCCTCTCTGCAGCGGGAGGAGGCCATTGCCAAAGGGACATCTGAGCAACGCAACACACTGCCAAGTGAACTGACCTCCCTGTGCCTCAGTTTCCCTATCTGCAAATGCATTTAAGAGACTAACCTCGTCAGGCTGTTTGAAGATTCAACGAGACAGTACACATGAAGCCCCCAGAGCAGAGCCTGTAGGAGATGCCCAAGGAATGTCGGCTGGCCTCCCGACTTTTATTTCTAAGGTGACCAAGGGAGGCAATGGAGAAGAGGTTTGAGTGGGGCTCTGACGTCCAGGGCCCAGGGGAGTCCTGGCCCCCTCGGTGACTGTCTTCATGCCCGTACTTCACCTCTTTTAGCTTGGTTTTCCTCGGCTATAAAATGCGGACGATAACAGGATATGCCTCAGAGATTGGAGAGAAAGATTAAGTGACATTGTAATAGGGCCTGGCACCTGATAACCCCCAATAAATGTTAGCTACTGCTGGTACAATTATTCTCATTTGTCCCATGGCAATCTACCAGGATAACGCCGGGGCGGTTATGTGGGTGTGTATGGAGGCAGAGAATGACTGAGGGAGCTACAACATTACCTACAGGTCAACGAGGCATGGCCTGGCCCCAGGTCCAAGAAGAAAATCTTGGATGTAGAAAAGCATCTCATCATAAGAGAGGAGGGGTCAAGAGCACAGACTGGTTCCAGTCCCAGCACTGCCACTACCTGTGTGATCTTGGACAAGTTACTCAACCTCTCTGTGCCTTAGTTTCTTCATCTACAAAATGGTGGCGATAATGAAGAAACCCATTTCATAGGGTCGCTGGAAGGATTACATTAACATTTGTCCTTGTACTTAGAACAAAATCTGGCCCGTATAAGGCGTTATATATGTGTTTCTTTCAATGAAGAAACGAGGGGCGCCTAGATGGCTCAGTTAGTTGAGCATCTGCCTTTGGCTCAGGTCATGATCCCAGGGCCCTGGGATCGAGCCCCGCATCAGGCTCCCTGCTCAGAGGGGAGTCTGCTTCTCCCTCTCCCTCTTCAGCTCCCCCTACTTGTGCTCTCTCTCGCTCTCTCTCCCTCACTCTGTCAAATAAATAAATAAAATCTTAAAAAAAATAAATGAATGAATGAATTAATGAGTACATATGTAAAGTGGCAACACACAGCCACGGATTGCAGAACAAACAGCGTTCTAGGCTGCAGGGCTTTGGGAATTGCTTCTAATGTGCTTGTTGGTTTAGCCAAAATGGGTGAAAATCAGCAGCAACAATGACAACAAATGACAATCACAGAGCAATGATCTGTCGGCCTCTGGGCCAGATAAGCGCTGTATTCACACCACTCATTTACTTCTCACCATACCCTCACGAGAGAGGGAGGTGTTATTTTTACCCCCAGTCTAGAGATAAGGAAAGGCAGCCCCAGTGAGCTGAAGTGACAGGTCTAGGGTTCATCTGTCTCCACGAACACCAGAGGTCTTGCTTAATCACAACAGACACTGCTCCTCCTCAGTGATCACCCGCCTGGGCGCTCACCAAGCGCCGGGCAACGGCTAAGCAGGTGCACCAAACATTCCCTGAGTCTTGGCCCCCGCTTGCTGATGGAGCATCTGGCTGCCGAGGTTAAATCAAGGGTCTCGGTGCCGGGAAGGGGCAAAACCTCACCCGAAATCCAGGGTTTCTCATCCTGAGTCCAAGCTCCTCCTAGTCGCCAGGGGCTGGCAAACTACCCATGTGGGCCAGAGTGGGCCTGTAGCCTGCTTTTGTTCTAATAAAGTTTTATTGGAACACAGCCACACCGTCCTGACTACTACACAAGCTACATGGCCTGGGAGCCTAAAACACCTGGCCCTTCACAGAACACATGTGCCATGCCCTGCTCTACCCCATAATTTCTCCACATTTAATAAACAGAGTTAATTGTAGGGAACAGCATCTACGACGTTTACGGCTCAGATACAAAATACATTAAAAAAGACTTGCTTTTATGTCCTGTGTGGACCAAAAACATCCACAGGGTGCCTTCTAAAGATTACTGAAACCAAGGGCCTGAGTTGTAACATGATCGAAATTGTTTTTTTGTTTGTTTGTTTTTTAAAGATTTTATTTATTTGACAGAGAGACACAGCGAGAGGGGGAACACAAGCAGGGGGAGTGGGAGAGGGAGAAGCAGGCTTCTCGCCGGGCAGGGAGCCCGATGCGGGGCTTGATCCCAGGACCCAGGGACCATGACCTGAGCCGAAGGCAGATGCTTAACGACTGAGCCACCCAGGCGCCCCTTGAAATTGTTTTTAAAATGTGTTCTGGGCCTAAGAACACAGAGATCAACCATGCGGAATGAACTGACCTTCTGAAAGGGAAACTTTCAGGAAGGAAACACCCTAGTGCAAATGTTTCCGGGCTTCGGGCGGGGCAGGAGCACGTGGGCTTACAGTGGTACCCGGATGTGTGTGTGTTTGCCGGGCGGTGGGGGGGGCACACAGGACAGTGACTCGCTTCTCTACGTTCCCTCTTAGGAGGTGCTCAGCACAGGCCTGGCACACAGTGCAGGCTCATGAACATTTGTTTATGGAAACAAAGTACACAAAGGTCTCCCCCCACCATGTACTGGTTTGTGGGGTACACCCAGCCGTACCAGAGACTCTAGGGACTCACAGGTGAGTGAACAAGGCAGCTCCCACCCTCCAGGAGCCCAAACCGGAGGGGTGGTGGGTGTGGGAAGAGCTGCAGGGCAGCATGGTGGCCACAGGGCTGGGTCGCTGAACATATGGCTGGAGAAACACCCTGGTCTGGGGCTTGGGGAGGGTCTGGGAAGGCTTCCTGGAAGTGACGCCCAAGGAGATGAATATGCTCAAGTATTCGGTCCGGTGGGAGAGGTGAGGATAAAAGACAAACAAAACAAATAAAAACCCAGGTAAGACCTAAGGCGTGGGAAAGTTTACTCATGGCAGACGTTTTGGGAGTAAGTCTTGAAAATACTGCAGACCCCAAAACATCCTGTCTTTTCCTGCTCCCATCTTTTGTTTCCTGTCACAGTAATGGTATTTGTCCTTCTAGCCCCGCCCACCACCTGGAGCTTTGGGGCCACAGTGAGCTCCTCTCTTCGCAACATCCACAGCATCCATTCTGTCCCTGAGTCAACTCTGTTCTCCCCGAGAAAAGTCTGTCCCACCTGTGCACCCCTCCTCCTGGTGTCATTCAACCTGTCCAGCTTTTGTTCCCATGACACCTGGTTTAAACCCATCCAGGCACTTACCCTGTCTTCTAGTATAATGGTAGTCAGTTATCCGGGTGCTCTACCCCAGATTATAAGCCCCTAGAGGGCAGGAGCCAGGCCTTGTTTTTCTCCCAGCAGTACACCTAGCATAGAGTAGGTGCTCAATAAATGCATGTTACATGCATGAATAAGTGTCTTTTCTCCCATTAGACTGTGTCCTATTTGAGGGCAGGGAGTATCTGCTTTGTTCATCTCATTCATGTACACCTTCCATGTACTCTAAATCATACCTGGCACACAGTAGGTGCTCAGAAAATGCCTGGTGTAGGTAAATGAGTAAGTATGAACGAGGTATGTCTTACCCCCCAGATTGTGAACTCTTTAAAGATAAGGACAATGACTTTCTCCCCTTTGCCAGCAGCACCCGGTAGGTGGCCTGGCTGTTAATAATGGCCTCCCTGAAGAAGCATGACATTCCCTCCGTGAGACAAGAGCACTCACCTTTGCTCAGGTTCTGGAAAGAGCTGGGACAGGGAGATGCCACAGAGGGCAGCATAGGCAAAGCGGCTGGCCTCGGCCAGCTCGTGGCCCACGGGCAGATGCGGCGCCCCCTCCACTGCCGGCTCGCCCACCGGAGGCAGCCTCTGGCTCGATCTGTCCTGTGTGGCCATTTCCAGCCCTGCAGGATAAAAAAAAAAAAAATCTCTGAAAAATGCAACCGGGGGTAGGTAAAAGTTACTTAAATAGGACACAGTGACTACCAATCATGAAAGAAAAGGCTGATAAATGAAACTTCATTCAAATTAAGAACTGCTATTCATCATCTTCAAGAGAGTGAAAACACAGACCATGGACTAGGGCAGATATTTCTTTTTTTTTTTTTTAAAGATTTTATTTATTTATTTGAGAGAGAGAGAATGAGAGATAGAGAGCACGAGAGGGAAGAGGGTCAGAGGGAGAAGCAGACTCCCCGCTGAGCAGGGAGCCCGATGTGGGGACTCGATCCCGGGACTCCAGGATCATGACCTGAGCCGAAGGCAGTCGCTTAACCAACTGAGCCACCCAGGCGCCCTAGGGCAGATATTTCAATGTGTATCAACAAAGGATTTGTACCCTAGTATATAAACAACCCCTATAAGTCATGAAGAAAAAGAAATAAGGCAAATTTAAAAATGGGCAAAACACCTGAACAGGTACTTCATAAAAGATACCCAATGGCCAATAAGCACATGAAGTTCAACATTGTAGTCATCAGAAAAATAAATTAAAGCACCCAAAGAGACACTGCTACTTACTTGTCAGAATGGCTAAAAATAAAAATCTGACAATACTAAGTGTTGATGAGGAAAGGGACACATAGAACTTCTACATGCTGCTGGTGGGAGTATTTGTGGTACAGCCTTTTGGAAAACGGTTTGACATTTTCCACTAAAGCTAAATGTATGTCTTTTCTATGCCCCAGTAATTCTACTCCTGAGAAACGAGGACTTATGTCCACCAGAGGGCATGTACATGAACGCTCCATTCACAGCTTCATTCACAATAGTCCCAAACCGGAAGCAAGTCACATGTTTGTCCACAGTGGAATGGAAAAACTGCGCCATCTTCAGACCATGGAATATTACAAAGCAATGAAAAAGGATGAAGTCTGGCTAACCACAACAACATGAGCGAACCCCACAGGCACAATTATAAGCAGACATACTTATCTGTGGAATTGTGTTCCTATGAACTTGAAGAACAGGTTGAACCAATCTAGGGTGAAAGAAGATGGAAGAGAGGTTGCCCCTGGAAGGCAGTAAGTACTGGCTCAGAAGGGGCACAGTGAGGCTTCTAGCTGATGGACATGTTCTGTATCTGTATCACCCAGTGTGATTACATGGGTATAAATATATTTAAAAATTCATCAAGCTTAAGGCTTAAGGCTTAAGCTTTGTGTACTCTAGGGCAATCCTCTTGGATCCCCTCCCTCCTTGGGAGCTTTGTACTATCATTTTGCTATCACTCAATAAACTGCTTTGTTTCCCACCAAAAAAAAAAAAAAAAAGATTTGTGTACTCTATATATGTTACACTTCAATGAAGGGAAGGAAGGAGAGAAGGAAGGGATGGGGGGAGCTCTCTTTTTTCCCCTCCCTTTATTCTTTCCTTCTTTCTGAGGGGCAGAAGGGGAAGCAAGGAAAGCAGGGGAGGGGACAGACCAAGCCAAGTCAGACATCCAAGGGGCAGGAAGGGTCCTGGGAGTGAGTACTAGGAAGGGAACCTGCCTTGACCACAGGGCTTTATGGATATGAATGCAGGCTCAGGACCAGACAGACCAGGGTATGAATCCAAGCACCTCCATCTCATAGATATGGAGCTTTGGGCAACTCAACCTCTCTGCCCTTACACTTCTTCACCTGACAATGGGACTATAACAGTATTTGCCTGGAGGACCCAGATTGGCAGCAAGTGACATAGCTATGTGGGTTAGTATCTGTAAAGCACTTAGAACAAAACCTGGCATCTGACTCATGCCACATACATGTTTGTTAAAGAAATAAATGCATTAAACAATCAACAAACACGGGCGCCTGGGTGGCTCACTCGGTTAAGCATCCGACTCCCCCGACTCGTGCTCGCTCACATGCATGCACGCTCTCTCTCAAATAAATAAATAAATCTTTTAAAAAACCAACAAATCAATGAAATGCTCAGCACAGTGCCTGGCACATAGCAGAGGTGCCCACATAATGGCAAGAGCTAACATTATGTGCCTGTCGCTGGGGGCCAGGCCCTGGGGCTGCAGTGTTAACGTGCCCAGTCTCAGCTGACTCTATGAGCCAGGCACTACTCCAGTCTGCAAACAGAGGAGAAGTAACTGGGCCCGAATCACACAGCCAGTAAATGGCAAGCTGGAGCCCAAAGCCAGAGTTCTTGGCCACCACTTCTGCTTAAAGAGATTTCGAGTCTAATACCCACACTCTGCACCGGCTTTGGTCCATAAATTCATTCTCATCCAGCTGAGCAATAAAAATTTTTGTCCTTGAAATATTACTTCTACAGAGGACTTATTTAAAAGTCTGTGCATGGGCGCCTGGGTGGCTCAGTTGGTTAAGTGACTGCCCTCGGCTCAGGTCATGATCCCAGAGTCCTGCTTTGCAAAATAACCCTGAAGTAGTGAAAGGCAACAAACCAACATCTGTACAGCATGTAACAGTTTACAAAGCACTTTCCAATGCAATTAATTCTCACAACTATCATGTTAGGTTAAGTGTGACGTGAGCCACTATGATTCCCTCCTATAGCTGAGAAACAAGCTCAGAGAGGCTAAGTACTTTTCCCTGCTTGCATTCTGGTGGGAGACAGGGGGCACCTGGGTGACTCAGTCGGTGAAGTGTCCAACTCTTGGTTTTGGCTCAGGTCAAGATCTCAGGGTCGTGAGATTGAGCTCCACATTGGGCTACGTGCTTAGTGCAGAGTCTACTTGAGATTCCCTCTCCTGCTGCCCTTGCCTCAGCTCACTCTCTCTTTCTCTAAAATAAATAAACACAATCTAAATACAACCTTTTTTTTTTTAAGATTTTATTTATTTATTTGACAGAAAGCGAGACAGCAAGAGAGAGAACACAAACAGCAGGAGCAGGAGAGGGAGACGCAGGCTTCCCGCCGAGCAGGGAGCCCGATGGGGGGCTCGATCCCAGGACCCCAGGATCATGACCTGAAGGCAGACGCTTAATGACTGAGCCACCCGGGTGCCCCAATAAATAAATAAAATCTTTAAAAAAAGAATACAGCAATACATGATAATAATCTAAGTAACTTGCCCAAGATGATGTAGTTAGTGGTGGAACCAAGATTCACACTCAGGTCTGACTGTAAGGATCCATGCCCTAAACAACTGTGTCAGGAAGCCATCATCTGGGAAGAACAATTAGGGTGAGGGGCTACAAAGTGATGGGGTAGGAGGGGGTGACGATGCTATATGGTTGAAAGGTGTCTGCAGGAAACAAGGGGACAGCCCTGCGGGTGCATGGGAGAGGGTATTCCGCAGAAGAAACTGCGCTGTGGTAGAGACAGACAAGCAAACAGACAATGACAAACCAGCAGGACAAACACTGGGACGGGGTGGGGGGTGGGGACACAGATGGAGGGATACAAACAGGGGCCTGCAGCCCAGAAGTGGCTTCCAAGAGAAGGTGGCGTCAGATAGGGTTGGGGTGTTAGGAAGAGCACGTTCTGGGCACAGGGGATGGCACGTGTCAAGACCCAGAGGTAGAAGAGAGAAGATGGTTTGAAGAGCCAAAAAGATGCTCAGTGTAGCCAGGCCTTGGACAGTAAGGAGGTGGGCACGGAGGGGTGGGAGGGAAGAAATGAGCAGGTGGGGAAGCTGCTGGGGGCCCCCGCTGTGCCAGACCACGTTCTTCCAGCTCAGGAGTCAGACTTCATTGTAAAGGCAGCAGCCATGGGAATGCGGAGTAAGGGTTTGTGGGACCTCGCAGTACTTGTTTTGAAACTGCCTGTGAGACTGTAATTATTTTAAGACAGAAAGCTTTGAAAAAAGCAGCAGGATGTCTCTACAGAATTTTAAAGACCTTTTCTTTCTTTTTTAAATTATTTATTTATTTATTCATGAGAGGCAGAGAGAGAGAGAGAGAGAGAGAGACAGAGACAGAGAGAGAGAGAGAGACAAGCAGAGGGAGAAGCAGGCTCCCAAGGAGCAGGGAGCCCGATGCGGGGCTCCATCCCAGGACCCTGGGATCATGACCTGAACCGAAGGCAGACACTCAACCATCTGAGCCACCCAGGCGCCCAAAGACCTTTTCTTAAGTTCTAAGTAAATGAAAAATAAATGTCCACCTCACCCCAAATGAACTAGTGCATTTAATAAATACATATATGTGCCTATAGGCGCCAGGTGTCACCCCACATGCTGCGGGCACAGCAAAGACAAAGACAGACGCACCCCTCCATCATGGAGGTATGTTCCCACGAAGGAGACAGACAATATGCAAACTCATAATATTTAAAATAAGACAATCTTAAATAATGGCGAGGATGTGAAGAAAAAGAAACCTTAAATAACACTTACCCAGATTTCAGGAAACAGTTGTGGGCCTCCCCTCTCTTAAGTGTGAAAACAGGCTGTTCAGCTTCTTGAAGGTTCTTGGAGAAATATGCCAATTGCCCTAGGGGAAACAAACCAGAAAAACCAGCCGGTGGGTCCATAGGGTGTGGGATCTGGAGGAGGAGAGACAGAGGGATCAGGTTAGCCTAGGGCTCAGGGGAGCCTCGCTACCACTTCTACCTACTACCTCTGGGCCTTGGCCCCAACAGGTTCCTTTACCTGGGTGCTTTTCTCAGCAGGTTGGCAGGCAGCAGCTACTCACTGAGCACAGCCCGGGCACCTGGCATGGGTTGTCTCATTTAATATCCTTGTTCTAGCTCCTCATAACCTGAGATGTGGTTATAGCGCCCAGCTCCCTGGTTAGCCTGCAGTACCTGGCAGGCACGGGGTATCCTTCCTATCTGTAGCCGGTGCCCCAAGCACTTACCTGCCACAGAGTGCTCAGAAGATGTCTGTTACGGGGCACCTGGGTGGCTCAGTCGGTTAAGCGTCTGCCTTCAGCTCAGGTCATGATCTTAGGGTCCTGGGATCGAGCCCCACATCAGGCTCCCCACTCAGTGGGGAGTCTGCTTCTCCCTCTCCCTCTGCCCCTCCCCCTTGCTTGTGCTCTAGCTCACTCGCCCTCTCTCTCTCAAATGAATAAATTTAAAAAATCTTTGATAAAAAAAAAAGATGTCTGTTACAGGAATGAATGAATGAACTAGCTTTTAGGCTTAAGCAAGAGCTAGATTTTCCTGCTAATTCTCTCCCCAAAGACACTCCTGTTCTTACACTTAAATCGAGCATCAGATAAGGAAGGGAGATGGGGCAGGGACCAAGCATCTGGAATTACCCAGGGTCCCCCAAGACTTCAAATAATCCAAGTTTCATCCTAACGGCCATTTTCCATGCCAAAGAACCAGAATATTATTTTCTGCCACTTTAATCTTTTTTAAAGGAATTATCAGGGATAAGGCCCTTCCCCTGGGACGTGAGAATGTGCCTGCACCATGCCTACAAACTACGAGATTCAAGCTATGAGTCCATCCATGTTAGAAAGATGCAGAGAAGACAAAATGGCTGGAAGGATATTCTCCCAAATTCTCTGTGAAAGGCAAGATACCAGAGACTTCTGGATTTTCCCAATTTTCTGCCATAAATATGTGTTGCTTCTGAACTCTGAAGAAAGTTCTCTAGTATATGTGGAGGCCAGCAGCGTGTCTCTATCTCTAAGTAGGAGGCTCCTGGATTCTGGACCGTTGATTGTTTCTCTTTATTGTTTATGTTTTATAAATTTTCGGTAATGAGTACATATTGATTTTTAAGATTAGAAAAAAAGGTCATGGTTTTATCTTTTTTTTTTTTTAAAGATTTTATTTATTTATTCATGAGAGACAGAGACAGAGAGAGAGAGGCAGAGGGAGAAGCAGGCTCCCAAGGAGCAGGGAGCCTGATGCGGGACTCGATCCCAGGACCCTGGGATCATGACCCGAGCCGAAGGCAGACACTTAACCATCTGAGCCACCCAGGCGCCGCCCAAAAAGGTCATGATTTTAAATTATAACATGGTGTGCCGACGCAGGCTCATTCTGGCTGGGGAGAACTGATTCTGCATGACTCTGGCAGCCTGAGATGGGCCATAGTGGGAGCAATGATACCACAGAAAGAGGCAGATGCTACCCATGATGGATTTTATTTTCCAGAGAGCTGGTTAACAGCCTACCACTGGATGTACAATATGATTCCAGGTAGGTTTTTTTTTTAAAAACGTTTCACCGAACAAAATGATCACAAGGAAATCTAGCCAAAAGTCAATAATCATTGTCTCTCGGTGGCGGGGCTGTGGGACTAGAAGTAATTGGGTTTTGTTCTTCCTATTTTCCTGTATTTTTTTAAAGATTTTATTTATTTGATAGAGAGCATAAGAGAGATAGCAAGCAGAGCGAGGTTGGAGGTGGGGAGGCAGGGGCAGGGCAGAGGGAGAGGGAGAAGCAGGCTTCCCGCCGAGCAGGGAGCCTGATGCGGGGCTCGATCCCAGGACCCTGGGATCATGACCTGAGCCGAAGGCAGACGCTTAACTGACTGAGCCACCCAGGCGCCCCAATTTTCTGTATTTTTAACATTTTCCATCCTGAGCGCGTTGGCGCTTTTATAATGAAAAAAAATTTTTAATTAAAACCAATTTTGCTCTTGATCCCCAGAAGAAGAGTGCTTTATCTCTAACAGCCCTGGCCCTGTGTGGCCCACCAAGCCCATGGGGCTGAGGTCACACTTAAGTCCCATTCCACTGACCAACAACCAGGTCTTATAATCAACAAAATGGACAAAGGGTAGCATGACAGGCTGAAGCGATCCCCAGCTACCCACGATGACGTGATGGAGGAACCCTTGTTTCCAACCCTGTGGACTGTCCCCTTGGATGGGCTGGGCCCCCAAACTCTCCCAGCTGAGGAAGTGTGCTGGCAGCTGTGGGGCTGGAAGATCTATCACCTGAACTGTGTACACTGGTCCTCAGGGGACTCTACCCCTTGCTTGGTCTGTTTTGGGATCAGGGTCTGGTCTAAGAGGAGCCGAGGTGCTCAAGTATGTCTGAGAAGCTAAACTGGTTTTAAGACAGAGTGCTGGATTCCCGCAGTGAGAAAAAGACCAGTGGTCAGGGCCAGTGGTGACTCCACGCCCTGGGGCCACCTAGTGTGCAGAGAGCTGGTCCCAAGGCACCCAGGGCCTAGGAGGTCACTGATGGACGGAGTAACTTGCGGATATCACGGGTCTCCTGGGGATCTGTCCCTGTCCAGGTGCTGTGAAGACACCAAGGGACTCTGAGAGTCCTGTACTTGACCCAGAAGAGCTCCAATTGGCAGGGAGAGAACATATACATAGCGAGAGCCAGCACGGCGATCGCTCACCCATGGCTGGACTGCAAAGCCCAGGCGCAGGATGGACGAGCGTTACGTCAGCAGGGGCCGTGGCATGATGGTCTATGATTGTGAGTTTTATCGAGCCAGCTACATTACCTACTGCCAAAGAAAATGCTGGCTGAGCTGTTATTATCAGTTGTGGGGGTAGAGAGCCATTCCACGACAGCTGTCCTCGGCTTGTAAGCACCCACAGTAGGTGTCCAGCCCGTATTTGTTAAGTAACACTGTAAATGACTCAGCAGGATTTCTTCTTGGGGAGATGAAAAGTCCCCAACTCAGCAGCGAGGAGAAAACAAATATGATCAGTATCATCCTGGAACACCCTTTAAATCATCCTTAAAACTCCATGACCTGAGCTTTTAGGAGATCACATGCAAGAATGACATTCTTTTGTGTTTTTTTTTTAATAAAGATTTTATTTATTTATTTGAGAGAGCGAGAGAACATACATGAGTGGTGGGGAGGGACAGAGGCAGAGGGAGAAGCAGAGCCCCCACTGAGTGGGGAGCGCAATGCGGGGCTTGATCCCAGGACCCTGAGATCATGACCCGAACCAAAGGCAGATGCTTAACTGAATGAGCCACCCAGGCGCCCCTGAACTTCTTTACACGGCAGCCCATTATGGCCTTTTTTACCCCTTGGAGCAGCCAGTAAAGGCCAAGGTCAAATTTGATGTGAATGTATGTGTGTGGGGCAGGTGGGGAGAGGTGTTCTTTCTCTTTTTCTGGTGAACCGGTTAGAATTGAGGTATTTTTTTTTCTTTTTCTTTTTTTTAGAGAGAGGGGGGTGGAGGGAGGGGGAGAAGAGGGAGCATCTCAAGCAGACTCCACGCCAGTGCAGAGCCTGATGGTGGGCTTGATCTCACAACCCTGAGATCATGACGTGAGCTGCAATCAAGTCGGACACTTAGCTGACTGAGCCACCCAGGCGCCCGTACAGTTGAGTTTTTAAATGAGCCTGTGGTACAGTAACAGAGGCATCACTAGTGGGATAACAACGGTATTATGGGAGGGCTGGGGACTAACTGTTCTGGAGCCAAGGAGAAAGAAAAGCATTTGGTTGAAGAAACCCTTCACAACAAATAGAGCTACAGCATCGTTCTTGGGCCAGAAATTCTGAAGAGGGTAGTTCGAAGTTCATACACACACACACAACCTTGAGATGGTCCTAGAAGGGAGGATTCTAGGCAGTCCCAGTTCACTCCCCCACCCTGCCCCCCTCCAGCATTTTAGGAGAAACCCATTCATTCGATACCTCTCTCTGGAAGTTAAATTGGAAGCCACCGGTACATGCAGCATCTCAGGAGGTTTCCATGGCAACAGTTCCAACACCTTAGAATCCAGAGGTTTTCAGACAATCCCACTACAGACCAGAAGAGAGGGATGTTGGCACAGAGGGAAAGTTCCTATCCCATCTCACCTCAGCAGCCTGGAGGATGGGCAGGTGGTGGAGTCGGGGGGGCAGCGTGCCATTGGGATGGACGCTCAGGTTGTATGACATTCCGTCCACATTACGGTTGCTTCATTCCTCCCCAACTAGCGCCCTGGTGCAAGCCAACATCATCTCAGGTGGACCCCGGCAGGAGCCTCCCCACCGGACTCCTACTCTGTCTGTTCTCCCCACTAGCTGTCCACCATGCTGCGGCCAGAGAGCTCCCTCTCCACCTGAAGTCATCATGTCCTTCTCGGCTCCAAATCTCCACTAACCCCCTTTCCAGAGTCACAGTTCTTCCGGTGGTGCCTGCGCTACATGCAGTCTGGTCCCTAGCCTCTCGGCCCTCCTCCCCCTCTCCCCTTTACTGGCTCTGCTCTAGCTGCACACCCTCCTCGCTGCTCCTGGAGCCCATCAGGCACGCTCTCACCTCAAGGTCTTTGCATAGTCTGTTCCTTCTGCCCGGAATGCTTTTCCTGCAGACAACCACATGGCCAGCTCCCTCACCTCCTTCCTGTCTCTGCTTAATCTCCCAGTTCAGTGAGACCACCCTGCCCCTGCCTTTCATCCCAATCCCCTTTCCCTGGCTCCTCTGCTTGGTCCCCAGCACGAATCACTGTCCGACACACTGGATCATTTACTTGTTTACACCCATTGTTTATTGTCTATCTCTTTCTGCCCTTATGCAAAAGCACAGGAGGCACTTATAAACATCTGATGAATAGAATGGTGGTTTCTACTCGGGAATACCTAAAACATAATGGGAGGCACATTTGCTGAGGAAGGAGGTAAGGGGGGAAATGGCAAAGTTTGTGATGGTTTACTTGATCTGCTGGTTTTCAAACTGTCCTACAGGGCCCCAGGGACTTCTCTTACTCTGGTGGGCAAGAGGAGATTCGATGAGGACCCTCAATGCCTCACCTTCAAATTATAGCAGTAAATAATCCAGCAAGACCACTTTGGGGGTATTATCCCTCCAAAGGAATGAAAGCAGGGTCTCAAAAATGTATTTGTGCTCCCATGTTCATAGCAGCATTATTCACCATAGCTAAAAGGTAGAATCAGCCCGAGTGTCCATCAATGGATGAATGGATGAACAACAACAAAAAAGCAATATATCCATGCGATGGAATATTATTCAGCTTTTAAAAAAGGAAGGGAATTATACCATGGAAGAACTTTGAGGACATTGTGCTAAGCAAAATAAGCCAGTCACGGAAAGACAAATACTGTCTGATTCCACTCACAGGAGGTACCCTAGAGTAGTCGAAATTATACAGACAGACAGCAGAAAGGTGGGTGCCAGGAGCTGGGGGAGGCGGAAACGGGCAGTTGTTGAATGGATACGGAGTTTCAGATTTGCAAGTGGAAAAGTTCTGGTTGCAGAGTGATGTGAATACGCTTAACACTACTGACCTGCACACTTAGAAATGGTTAAGATGGTAAATTTTATGTTTTTTTTTTTAATTTCATTTTTTAAGTAATCTCTACTCCCATGGTGGGGCTCGAACTCACAACCCGGAGATCAAGAGTCGCAGGCTCCACCAACTGAGCCAGCCAGGCACCCCAGTAAATTTTATGTTATTTTATCACAATTAAATTTTTATAAATTATAACAGTGACCGTTTGGTAAATGTTAGCCACGGGCCTCCCCTTTCCCCCCATCATTTCATTTCTTCCCAACAGTCCTCCAGGGTAGGTGCTGTTATCCCCAATTTACAAGAGGGACACAGAGGCCCTAAGAAATGAAGGTCAAAGCCACAGGGCAAGTAATGTGGGATTTGAACACACCTGGGTCTTAACCCCGAGGCAGCCATCTCAACCTTGATGCTGCACAGCTCTCTTTAGTCTAGTTGATGTCCTGGGGAGGGCCAGGAGATCTCAAACACAAACTGAAAGCCACCAGGTTAGGCGAATCTCACTCACTCCCATCTGTGCACAGGCTAACACCCCACTTCTCAGCCTGCCCTAAGCACCTCTGGGACAGACCTAACCTGCCTTCCGTGGTCATTTTCCTCCAGTCCCCTTCTTCTAGCCAGGCCTCAGCCAAACCGCACCATCCGCTGCTTCCTGCCCATATCAGGATTCCCACCTCAGGCCTCAACTCCGGCTGACCCCCAGGTGGGCCCTCATGTCCAAATGGTATTGTTTTTCAAAAGCACAGTTTCATAACAAAATCAGGAAAGACTTCCCGTGGGCTTACTCTTAGGAACGCATTTCAGCCTCACAATGACCTCATGAAGAAGAAACTGTCACTGTCCCCATTTTACAGATGGGAAAACTGAGGCCAGTGGAGGTGATGGCCACCTGGCTGGCAGTGCCATGATGCAGCCTGTAGGCCTGTGTGACTTCAAACCCCGAGATTTTCTCCACTTTACAAAGGGGACCAAGGACTGCCATAAGCCTCCCTGGATTTGTTCAGCTAACCTGAGGCCTGCTGCCTCTAAAGCCCCCAGGCTTCCTCTGGGCAGCCCCCTCCCCAACGGCTGCTTGCCTAAGTGCCGGTCTCCCAGCCTGGGAGGGTCAGGGTGAGAGTGGATGAGGCTCAGGACATCAGTGCCTTCCCCGGCTGGCCAGCAGAAAGAGCAGACCCGCCTCTCCTCCCTCCCAGCAGACCCTGCGTGACTTCCTTCCCACGCAGTGGGCTACAGGTTTACTTGTTTGTGGGTGATCTGTCTAGAAAAAGCTCCACCAGGGCAGTGGCTTTTGTGTCTTTCCTGGATGTGCCCTGGAACGGTGCCTGTCAGTGTAGGTGCTCACTCCCTGTGTGCAGAATGAATGAATGAAGGAATGAATGTGTGAACACCTACCCCTACAACAGCAAAATGACTTCAGCCTTATATTTTTTTCACTCCATCCTCCTGCCTCAGCCCTATATACAAATAAATAAATATATAAAAATAAATATAATATATAATAAATATATATTTCAGAGGGAGAGAGGGTGCGCGCACACGCGTGCACAAGTGGGGGGAGGGGCAGAGAGCAAGGGAGAAGCAGACTCCCTGCTGAGCTTGGAGCCCCACACGGGGCTCAATCCCAGGACCCTGAGATCATGACCTGAGCCAAAGGCAGATGCTCAACTAACTGAGCCATCTAGGTACCCCTCAGCCTTACATTTTTGAAGAAGGACAATATAGTTTTATATAAAGTGAGGTTTCCATATTTGCTCAAGAGGTACTCCTAAATGTAGATTTCATCCTTCAGCACCTCTCAGCAAACTCAGTCCAGTCCTGGAAGTCGGGGGGGTTACATTAGAGGTGGTGGACAGGGTACAGGCAGAAATTACCCCCCAAATGAGTATGCAACTCCCTCCGGAACTAAACCTCCCACACTCCTGAGGATGTCTCCTGGCCTGGGGTTGGGCTCAGATCTGAAGGATGAGGAGGTGTTAACCTGGGAAAAGGGAGATAAGGGGGGAACAGTGGTCTAGAAGAGCATGTGCAAAGGCCCTGAGGAGGGAGGGGGCAGCATGCCTCAAGCGCAGAGGGCTACTGATAAAGTGGTCTGAGATGTAGCTGGAGGTATAGGCCAGACTGTGCAGGGCCTTATGGCCCATATTCATGGGTTTTGTTCTTTGCCCTAAAACGAACAGGAAGCCATAGCAGAATTTTAAGCAGAGGGTGGTACAGCTGAATTGGTCTGACTGCCCAAGCGGAGGGTGAGGCATTGGTGGTTCAACGGTAGAATTCTCGCCTCCCAAGTGGAGGGTGGCTAAGTAGAAGATGGACTGATGCCCCCCCTTCTGCCCCCTTCTGCCCACTAGAACACATTCAAGGCAGCAAGCACCCCCCATCTCATCTGCAGCCTCAGTTTTTTTTTTTTAGATTTTATTTATTTATTTACTTGAGAAAGCGAGAATGAGAGAGAGAGCACATGAGAGGGGGGAGGGTCCGAGGGAGAAGCAGACTCCCCGCTGAGCAGGGAGCCTGATGCGGGACTCGATCCCAGGACTAGAGGATCATGACCTGAGCCGAAGGCAGTTGCCGAACCAACTGAGCCACCCAGGGGCCCTGCAGCCTCAATTTATAAAGTATAGCAGTGTTTACAAAACACACAGGCCATAAAGGACCCAGTGATAAATCACCTCCTGACGTTTCTCAGGCACAGGTACGGGCCCAGGTAGCTGGCTCCACCTTTGCAGTCTGGAGCACCAGCGCAAGGAGACATGGTTTCAGGCTCAGGAGAAATTCTCTAGGCTCCAGCCTTCATGAGCTTTCCATGCTGAGCGATGGCAACCTACTCGGTCAACGGCACCCATCCAATTGCTCCTGGGCCTTTGGTCGAAAAAGCAAAAAGGCTCCCCGAGCGCCAGACACAGGGCCTTTGTGTTCTTAGCTACTTTCATCCTCACGACAACCTTAGAGACAGTATTTTACACATGAGGAAACTGAGGCACAGACAGGTCACGTGGCTTGTCCAAGATGACTGAGGAGGCTACTAAGCCAGGACCTGAGCCCGTATCTGCCTGCTACCATGCACGTGACAGCAAGTGCTGTAGAAACTGAAATGCTGTGTGGCAAACATTCCATTTCTTGACCCTGGCAGGGGGCCTGAGCCCCCTTGCCTGGAACTCAGCCACCCCCACCTCTGCCTCTTACACCTCTCTACAGAGAGTGGTATCAGGTTACCAACAGGGTCGTTGGAGCCTCTAAATAAATATGCTCTAAATAAATCCACCCTTGCTTACTCCTGATTTGGCAGGGCCTCTGCTGGAGGCCACACTTTGGACCATGCTTTACCATTTAAGAAGCATTCTGACACGATATCATCAATGCCATGCACTTTTAAGACACCTGTTGAATGATAAATGAAACAGAGGCCCACAGAGGTGATGTGACATAACCAAGGTCACACAGCTAGGAAGGGGCAATGCCAGGTTTCCAGACTCTGACGTTAGTCTAGGGCTTCCTTTGGACCACCCTCTACCCACCTAGCGACTCCCCACCAAATCCCCGGGGAGTCGGGAGAACGCTCAGGCTGGCTGGGCATCTGGAACAAGGCCCACGAGGGTTTGACACTATGAGGTTCAATCTCCCTCTGTCCTCTGCACACACTTCACAGCTGGTAAGATGCCAGTGGTCTGTCCTCTCGGCCCAACCCTCAGCACCCCTCCACCCCCTGAATGGAGAACGGTGTTTTGTTCCACTCTTCCTAGTGTACTCCCCAAGGGCAACACTTCTCTTGTTCAGTGCTGTATTTTCAGGGCCTAAACAGTGCACACAATGGCACACAGTAGGTGCTCTGTGTCTAATAAATGAATGGATGCCCCTAAAACTTAAAGGGGTTTCCTGTTTTCGGCAGTGAAATGAGTACTGAGTCAGGGAAAAGAGAAGTAACATGTTAACTCCTACTTTGTGTTAGGCAGTGGTCTCTAGGCCAAGACCCAGAGTCTAGGCCTGCTGTGCTCTCCGGGGCAGAACAGAGAAAGGATGTGGTGAAAGCCTACTTTTCTCTGTGCCAGGCACTAGGTCAGTCTCTGGAGTCAGGTAACACCCAGGTTCTGAAAATGTTCTCTTTCCTAGGGGTGCTGTCTTGGGGAAGTCATCTCTCTGAGCCTGTTTACCTCGCTGTATAGTCCCCCCAAAAGTTAGTATACCAACTATATTATACCAACAGGTGGCAGAGTGAGAAACATGGCCCATCTGTAATTGGGGGCCTGGGCTTTTTTCCAGAAGGAATTCCCAGCCGCCTACTGGAATTCTGTTTGAATGTGTGCTATGAGCTCACAGGGCTGTAAGGGCAAGAAGAGAGCGGGTGCGGAGTGCCGGAAGACCTTCCGTGGAGGGGCTCGTGGGACAAGGGTAAGCCCAGTGACCCTGTGTAACCTTGGGCAAGTTCCTTTCTCTGCCTGGACCAGAGCAGCGTCCTCACTTATCCAGGAAGGTGCTGGGCGACCCTTGCGGGCTCAGAGCCCCGAGCTGGAAGGCAAGAGATGCCTGGGTGCTCCGCCCGGCCTCAGTTTCCCCATCTGCCGCCCTACGGAATTCCTAAGGACACTTTCCGCTTTAAAAGCAACCAAGCAACAACCAGGCAGCCTGGACTCCCCGCAGTCAGGGCCGGGAGCAGCGTGCGGCCACTCCTCGGGCGGTCTGGCGCCCACGGGGGGAGGAGGGCGGGGTGGGGGGCAAAGGCCCGCGGGGCCGCGTCCGGCCTTGCGGGAGCAACCCTCGTGAGGCCGGCGGTGGGGAGGGGCCCCGGCGTGGGTGAACCCCGCCCGCGGCCCATTGGAACCCTTGTTTCCTACCTGGCGGCGGCGGCAGCGGCGGCAAAGGCTCGGACTCCTCCCGCCCCGCTCGCCCCCCGGCCCCGCCCCCGGGCCCGCCCTGCCCCGCCCCGCCTCCTCGGACCCTCCCGGCGGATTCCGCAGCCTGCGCCGCCTGGAGCTCCCGGCCGCCCCGCCCCTCCCGCTCGGCCCCGCCCCTCTTGCCAGGCTTGTCCCGCCGCCTGCGCAGACCGTCTCCGGCGCGTGGTCCGGGCTTCCGGGCCCAGTCTCACGTACTGCGTGTCCCAATATGGCTCTTCTCGCCGCCACCCTGCGACAGGGGTGCCGGCATCAGGAAGTGACAGGCCAACCCGGGCGCGAAACGCGGTGTGTGGGTCTGTTTACCTTGCAGGATGCAGCGGGACCTCAGGGCCAGAGAGGACCCTGCAAGGTTCCACTGAGCGACACTGCTAGCCAGGGGCTTGGTCCCAGAGTGGAGGGCCAGAAAGCGACTTGGATGGAAACCTTCAAAAATAAAGGGTGTAAAATCAAGGAGCCAGCCACAGAAACAACCTTCCTGCATGTATATACAGCACTTTGGAGTTTCCAGAATATTGAGATTGCCATGCTCCCTCTGATTCTTCTTTTAGTTTGTCTAATGCTAAGTTTGGGCCAGTCTTGGGGCCTTCGCATTTGAGGTTCCCTTGCCTGGCGCTCTGCCCCGAGACCTTCTTCTTCCTGCGTCTGTTTCCAGCTTTCCGTTTGGGTCTCCACTCAGGGTGGTATCTGTGTCTTCAATGATTGAATGTTTCCTGTTTGCAGTTTACTGTCTGCCATCCCCGCTAAACTCTTAGTGTAGGGTCTCAGCTGCCTTGTCCCCTGCTGTGTGCCCAGCACCAGGGACTGTACTGGGCACTTGGTAGGTGTTTAGAATTTTATGAATGCAAAATTATTCATTATGTATCTGAAATTCAAATGTAAGTGGGTGTCCTATATTTTATCTGGCAATCCTACTTGAGCCCCATCCCCAGAGATTCTGATTCTGTTGGTCTGGGGTCTGGCCAGGCATAGGCATTGTTCTCAAGCTCACCAGCGTACCAGGTATTTCTAATGTGTGCTTAGCTTCAGGAACCACTGTTGTAGGGCCTTGTCTATGGATTTTATTCTGCATGAGATGGAGAGTTGTAGAAGGTCCTGGGCAGTGGTGTGACATGATCTCACCTTTAAAAAGGATCCCACTCGCTCCTTGCAAGGACAGAGGGATAAGAATGGACATAAGCAACTGGTTAGGAAGCTGTTGCAATATCCAGGCCAGGGAAGGGGCTTATACAATTTGATATTTTGATGTATTTGAGTGCCTACTAAGGGCTAGGCACAAAGCAAGTAGGTACTGGAGGCGTAGATTCTGGAGCCCAGCCCCAGACCTACCCAAGGTTGAATTTTTCAGGGGTGTGGAAGCCTAAAAATTTATATTTTTAACAAGTTGCCCTGGTGATTCTGATGATCAGTCAGGTTTGGAACAACCAAATAGTTGGATTCGATTCTCCCAGGAATTATAGAAATAACCATGAATATTGTTTCAGGAATATTACCCTGTGGTTGGCTCTACATGCTTCCCATACTTACTTTATATCATTCAATCCTGTGCAGTTGATAGCATGATTAGCCCCATTTCGAATAGGAAGGAACCGAGGCTCAGAGTAGTTAAATAACTTGGCTGGTGTCACCGAGCTACCAGATGGCAGAGCCAGGATTTGATCGAAGACGTGACTAATTCTGCTCTCCTGCCCTTCCACAGGCCTAAGTATCGACATGCGTTCAGAGATATTTAGATGAGTTTCAGATCATGAATCCCCAGCAGGAGAAGCCTTCTTCATTATGTCCCATTGATGTCTGTCCTTCCAGGATGTAGGTGGGGCTGGCCCAGCGTTGGTGTTCGTTGAATGGAACTGAATTACGGGCGTGATGTTACTGAAGGCAGCCCCACATCCCTTCCTGTAGAGTATCCTTATGATGCCCTCATGCTGACTTGGAGACTGAAGGACCCAGGAGATTGTTTATGGTCCCTTCTTTCCTAACGATGTTCAGAAATAAAAGCTGCCCTGGAAGGGCAGGACACACCTTCAGAGGAGGCCCAGGGTGGAGGGCCCTGCGGACAGTTTGTAGTTACCATGGATATTATGATATTGCTGAGCAATCTCTTGTTTTTTTTCCAAGGCATCTTTGACCTGGAGAGCTGAACATCTTTTTGTTAATTGGACCATCAACTGGCCCAATTAATTGGAGTTGGCGAAGCTAGGTAGCAGGGGTTTGGGGTCAAAGCCATGTGGGTTAATATTTTCCCCCCATTGTACTTGTGCATCGGGTGATAATTTTGTAGTTCTCTGCCTTATCTCTTACAAAGAGGCTTGGGTGACAGCCTCTGCCTGCTTCTTATCTAAGAATGCTTTGCACTTGCCCCTGGTCTCATATTTTCTAATGGATGATGAGACCCACATCATCAGTGGCATGTGAGATTCTTTAGCTGGCCCGTGAACTTCCATTAAATCTCCTTGGATAGTACATGAGAAAGTTATTCCCTTCAAGCCTTATTCCATTGAGAACACAGTTTAATGCTATCGAATCTTTTTTTTTTTTGAGGTACAATTTTTATTTGTTTCTTATAAACTACTAACTAAGGCCATTAATTAAACTCCTGTTTAAAACACTTTTCTTTGTGACTTAAAGGTTCACAAACAGAAAGGAGACATATATGTTATATATATATAATATATATATACTTTCTTTTTAGAAACATTATTGAGATATCTTTGATGTATAAAATTATATGCATTTAAGGTATACAATTTGATATTTTGATGTATGTGTACCTTGTGAAAAGTTCACCTAGAACAAGCTAAATAACTTAATCCATCACCTTTACATAGTTACCATTTGTGGTGTGTGTGTGTTGAGAAAATTTACTTTAAGATATATCCTCTAAACCAGTATGGAGGTTCCTCAAAAAGTTGAAAATAGAGCTACCGTACGACCCAGCAATTGCACTACTAGGTATTTACCCCAAAGATACAAATGTCGTGATCCGAAGGGGTACGTGCACCCCAATGTTTATAGCAGCAATGTCCACAATAGCCAAACTGTGGAAAGAGCCCAGATGTCCTTTGACAGATGAATAGATAAAGAAGACGTGGTCTCTATATAGAATGGAATACTACTCAGCCATCAAAAAAATGAAATCTTGCCATTTGTGATGATGTGGATGGAACCAGAGGGTATTATGCTAAGCAAAATAAGTCAATCAGAGATAATTATCATATCTCACTCATATGTAGAATTTAAGAAACAAAACGGGATCATAGGGGAAGGGAGAGAAAAATAAAACAAGACAAAATCAGAGGGAGACAAACCATAAGAGACTCTTTTTTTTTTTAATTTTATTTATTTGACAGAGAGAGACATATCGAAGGAGGGAATACAAGCAGAGGGACTGGTAGAGGGAGAAGCAGTCTTCCCATGGAGCAGGGAGCCCGATGCGGGGCTCGATCCCAGGACCCTGGGATCGTGACCTGAGCCAAAGGCAGATGCTTAACGACTGAGCCACCCAGGCACCCCACCATAAGAGACTCTTAACCATAGGAAACAAACTGAGGGTGGCTGGAGGGGAAGGGGGTCGGGGGATGGGGCAACTGGGAGATGGGCAGTAAGGAGAACACATGATGTGATGAACACTGGGTATTATATAAGACTGATGAATCACTGAACTCTACCTCTGAAACTAATAATACATTATATGTTAATTAATTGAACTTAAATTAAAAAAAAAAAGATCCTATCCTCTTAGGAAATTTCAAGTCTCCAATACGGTGTTGTTACCTATGGTCGCCATGCTGTCCATTAGATCTCCAGAGCTCATTCATCTGGCTTAACTAAAACTTTGACCTTTGATCGACGTCTCCTCATTTCTCCCTTCTCCCTGCCCCCAGGCCCTCACAACCACCATTCTGCTCTTTGCTTCTATGAGTTTGATTATTTTATATTCCACACATGAGTGAGATCAGGCACTATTTGCCTTTCTGTGTCTGGTTCATTTCACTTAGGACAATGTCCTCCAGGTGCATCCATGTTGCCGCAAATTGGAGGATTTCCTTCTTTTCTAAGGCTGAGCAATATTCACTGTCCTCCTCTAACATTTGCTAATCTTCCCTTTTAACAAAGGAGGAATAGGCCTCCGCTCAGAGCCTCTGGCTCTCCAAAATACTGAGTTATGATTTGATCCTTCTGTTATTTATTTAATAAACTTTTTATTTTGGAATGAGCTCAGATCGACGGAAAGGGTACAAAGGTAGTACAGAATTCTTGCCTAAGAATCATGTATCCTTCACCCTGTTTCCCCAGTGTTAGCATCTTACACAGTCATGTTAACGTTTGTCACGACTAAGACACCAATATTGGTAAATTACTATTAAGGACAAATCCCCGGCTCAGGTCTGCTCTCTGCCCGACAATCTGATCTGTGTACTGACCAGCTTCCTGCTGCCTGCAGTGCTCTCGTTCAGCCCATTTTTCCTGGCGGTTCAAATCAAATCCTGGCTTCAAGGCCCAGCCAGCTCCCGTAGCCTTCCTGAGATCTGCCCCGACCCCCTTCGTCAGGTCTGCCGTGGGAATTCACATATGCCTTGTCCTGCCCCACACACTCTTCCGTTTAACAGAGATCACAGGCCTCACGTTGGGGAAGGGAGAAGGAGGTATCAGAATTCTCTAGGTAGCCAGCTGATTTAAAGAGAGATACGAAAGTATATGACAGGGGTCTCGTGGACAGGCAGGAGAGTTATGGCAAACAGCTAGGACCCACCAAGACTGGTGACTGGGGAAGACAGAATGGGAGGCTTCTCTCTCTGCCTCTAGAGGCCACATGGCCTCCCTCTGGTCTGGCTCTCTGTGAGTGTCAGCTCCATTAGTCACTTGCATTCAGCTTCCCACCTTTGACACGCACCTGGCTCCGTGTCAGCTCCTTAACTTTCACTGCACGTGACCTTATAACTCAAGCATGTGCGAATGAGTCAGAGTTCCTTTAGGTTACAAGAGAAACAACCTAGTCAAAATG